GTCCCCAGCAGCAGTGTCCGTCGCCTGCTCGTGCACTCTCCTGCCTGACCTGCTGCCTTAGGAGCGCCTGCTGCCTCCGCGCCCAGGGCGGGACCCCGCTGATTGGCCGTCGGGCCACGGGCTGGCGGAAGCATAGGGGGACGGTAGCTGGCCAGCAGCGGAGAATCCAGGTCGCGCATGCCCTGGCTTGCCAGCAGGGATGCCGGGACTTGCCCACCGTTCCTGGCCGGGTCGGTGCCGCGGAGGGCCGCCCGGGACCCCGGGAAGAGCTGCCACGCCGGCGCAAGGGTTGTCTGCCCTGGCGCTCGAGCCCTTCTCCTCGCCCTTGGTTTGCGAGAGCCAGGCGCGACATTAGCCAGGGACGCCCGCCTGCCATCCCAGGGGAGGGCCGGCATCGAGAATCCCGCTGGCAGGGATGGTGCTGCCGTACACCTTTCCCAGAAAGGCGATGCAGGTGCTGCGGGGAGCGGTGCCCACAGGCAGGTTACTGGCTGCGCTGGCGGTGGCTGTCTGCGGGCAAGGTGCTTGGCAGACCTGCCCCGTCGGGTCCGACCGTGTCGGCCAGCGCCTAGGTTGGTCGGGGTCGAAGCGGCCCTGCGCCTGCGCCTGCGCTTGTGAGAGCGCAGGGCCCCGCCACGTCGCGGGAGGGACGCGTGGCGCTGTGCCTTCCACGCAGCCTTTAGGGCGGCCCTGGCCCTCAGCGCCCGGTCACCCGGTCAGGAAGGTGCGCCGCGCGTTGCCTGTCGCGCAACGGCAAAAAGGACAGGACGGATGAGGGAGTGGCGGCGCTGGCTTCGATGGAAAATACATGAAAAACACGTTCCCCGAAACCGGAGCATTGCGCAAAACCCGAGCCACGATTTTACCAAAACGTGAAAACTTACGGGAGCGAAAGCGCTTTTGGCTTCAATTCGATTAGCGATATTTTGCCACGCATGTGAAAACATATTGCCCGGAAACGCTTGAAATGCCAAACTGGTCGATGCAACATCCCCCCCAAGCTGAATTTGTACGACGCATTACGGTAGTTACGTATTTGTTAATCCCACTATGTGGAGTAGCACGCGTAAGACCTGCGCTTGTAAGGCGATCCGATCTGTCGCAAGGAATGGCCCAGTGCCTACAAGGCTTGGGGCCCCCAGAAATTGGCGGCCCGCTCCCCGACCGTTTCTCTCCTCCCTCCCTCCCTCCCTCCCTCCGTCACATCATCACCCTCGTCCTTTTCTTGTCCCCCTCCCGTCGTGAGCCCTCTGCCGAAACAATGCTGGGCACCTGCCAGGGCGCCGCCTTCGGGGCTTGCCGTCGATCGCCGTGTCCCTCACGTCGCCGTCGCCCCAGAGGGGCAGCGGTGTGGCCCAGCCTCGCCCCCGCCCGAGAGAGAGAGAGAGAGTCAGGGGCGACGTGGCGACGTCAGGGGGGGATGGGTTCAGGCGGCCGGGGGGGTCAGTCGCTCATTCGTCGCCGAGGGGCTGCCAGATGGCCCCACCCCGCCCGGGAAGGCGCGGCTCCGCTATCGGGGGCTTGTCGCCGATCTGTCGGCAAGGTATCGCCGATTCCAGGCCGGTGCTCCCGCCCCTGAGCCAGTCCCCGCCTAGCGTTGCCCCCCCGAGAGCAGAGCGGCAAGGCGAAGGCGTATGGCAGTTTCCGCAGCTTCGTAGCCGCCGAGCTGAGCGACTCGGCGACCAGAGGGGGCCACGGGGTGGGGCGCCCGGCTCCCTGGGGGAGGGAGCCGGGCCTCGAAGAAGCAGAAGAAGAGGAATAAACGGCATCAACACATCTGTTCGACGCTCCACGCGGAATTCTTGGATCGGCGCTGGGCCCCCATGGCGGTGCTTCTGGCGCCGCTTCTGGCGCACGCCGCGCGCCGTTGAAGGTTTATGCTTGTGCAGCTTTTCCTTATTCTATGACCTCCGAGGGGCTTTGGAGGCCCGCTTCGAGATCGGGGCCCGAGGGTGGCGAAAAAGGCGCGGCGCGAAATCCGTGCGAAAGATAGACTCGAGAGCCCTGGAGCCCTGCGCGTGAATCAAAACAGGACGCTGGCGGTCTGCATGGGGGAAGGGTTGAGGAGGGGAAGGGGGAAGGGAGGGAGAGGAAGGGTGAGGAAGAGAAGATGGCACGCCTAGAAGGGAGGGGAGGGGACAGAGATGAAGTGTGGGATAGCTTGGGGGAGGGAGGGAGGGAAGAGGAGGAGGAGGAGGAGGAGGAGGAGGAGGAGGAGAAGGAGGAGGAGAAGGATGAGAAGGCTGGGGAAGGGAAGTGGCAGGGATGGAGGGAATGAACGAGTGAAGGGGGTGAGGGTAGGGGGATCCTGGGAGGATGCGTCTTGGAGGACGGGAGGCACGGATAGGGGCGGGGAGTGGACTTGACAGGGAGGGAGGGATGGGCTGAGCTGAGGGGAGGGGGAGGGGGCGGAGTGGGGCGGGAATGCAGCGATTGGGCTGAGGAGAAGGGGTGGGTTGAATGGAGGGAGGGGCTCATGCAAGTGCCGCAAGTGCCCAGGTGGATTGGAGCTCGCGTGGGATTGCATGGCCTTGTTACACACAGTCTTTAGTCTTCATGCTATACCGTATCATGCCGTGCCGTCGCGTGTCATGCCACGCCATGCGGTGCCATGCCGTGCAGTGTTCTGCCGCGTGATTCCACACTGTCCTCGCAGCATTGTTTCACATGGTACGCTGATCGCCGTGCTATATACCATATGTCCATCAATGCATGCATGCAAGCAGACGTCACATCATGTTGTGTTGCGCTACACTGCTCTGCGCTACCCAACGATACACCCGGCCCGTCACCGATTCGCGACGGGCCTAGCACATTCCAGGAGGATCTCGCCGTTGGTCCGACCCGACGAATGCATTCGGGATGGTTGTGAGAAGTTTTCAGAACATGAGGACGGACCGACGATTCTATCAGGACCTTCTGGAACGCCTCCAGGAAGCTTCCAGGACTAGAATTCGTGCTTTCGATTACACAGTCGCCCTTCAGTGCAATTTGCCAGCCGTGCTTTCCTGGCCTAAGATGATTCCAAATCGGGTGTTTTCCAGAGTCCTAGCAATGATGACGGCCCCAATGATAATGTCAAATGACATGACGTGAAATCATGTGAACTCAGACGAGTGGGTTACAAGGGCCCCCTCGTAAGGCGCAGGCTGTTACGCTATACGAAGCCGTAGCAGGCTGTGCCGTGACATTCGTGAAACGAGTCAGGGGAGGAGGCCTCTTGGGGGCCTCTTCTGCCGCCTGGGGGCTTCCTGGAAGCACCTTGGCGGCCTCTCGGAGGTCTTTTGGGTCGTCTCCGGGCTTTCTTGGCATGCCTTTGGAGTCGTTCTTTGGGGCTTCTCTGGGCTGTCTTGCCTGCTTGGGGCGATTTAGGGCCGTCTTGGAGGTTGATTAGGCTGTCCAGGGGGCCCTGGGGTGGTCATCTTGGTGGCTTTTGGGGCCGTCCTGAGGCCATCTCGGGGGTGTCTTGGGCCGTTCAGGAGCTATCTTGGAGGCCTCTTGGGTTGTCGGACGCCTGGGAAGACAATAACGCGGAAATCCGTCAAGCACCGTAGGACAACAACACAATGAGTTGAGCCTCTTCGGGTCCTTCTGGGAGGCCTCTCGGAGCCCTATTGGGTCAACTTGGAGGCCTCATGTGCCTTCCTAAGGCTATCGTGGACCGTCATAGTGGCATATTGACACCATATATCATCCTCTTGGGGCCATCTTGGACGTCTTGGAGGCCATGTAGGTCATCATGGAGGCGAATTGCCTTGACTTTGTATGTTTTCTTGGGTGGCTAGCTGTGTGAACCGAGACCCTATTGGGAATATCTAGGAAGGGCTTAGCACAGTCACCTCAGTTCTACCGTGAGCGCAGCTGGAGTTGCTCTGTTCAGGAGCCTCTTGCACGACCAGGAAGCCCTCGAAGCCGCGGTAATCGATGCTGTAGGTGGGGTCGTCGTCGTACTCCCCCGACTCGCGGTAGCCGCAGACTCCACCAAACTAGGCAGCGCGTCTTGATCACCGTACAACCCGAAACACTTGTCCATTTCGAAGCTTGGCTCGTCAAAGCCTCCCTCATCCAGGAGATCACCACTTGCCATACAGCCATCAGACGGGGCATGTATGCGGTTGCCCGCAACGCTCGACCCTGTCTCAAAGTAGGAGACCCCGGGGCTACTATGCGGCTGTCATCAACGCCTGACCCGCCCCCGACGCATGATAACTTTGGGCAAAAAAGCGGCTGCCCGCAACGCCTGACCCCGTTCCCGAAGGAAGACGCCCAGGGGAAATTCTGCGGCTGCCCACAACGCTTGACCCAGGACTCGAAGTATGATCCCACGAGCACTACCAGGGGGTGGGGACTCGCTCGCTGTCAGAGGGGGTCTCAACGTTTCTGTCCTTAGCCACTTCATCCTGAAATACGGTCCCACGATTTCGTATCGGCGTCCGGCGAGACGCAGCAGCCCGACCGCCGACGTTCCGCGGAATGACCGGGGGCTTCCTCGGGTAGCCCCTCCTCCCCCAACCTTCGAATTGCATCCATCTAGCGGATCATTCTCGCCTGGTGTGTTCCCCCAGCATTTGGGGCACCCTTGGGATCTCCAGCACAGCGTGGCGATTGCGAACCTGAGGTGTTCCCCACGCTGGGGAGTCTTCCTCAGGATTTGGGACGATTTGCCCCAGATCACTGCTAAAGGTACCGTTGCTCGGTCGGGTAATTATGCCGTTGCCCACAACGCCTGACCCAGCATTCGCTGCAACACAACTAATAGGTGCCTCCACGGCGTATCACGAAGGACCATCCAACAGCATCACAATCGAGGTCTGCTCTGCGGCGGGCTCCCGCAGGCTACCCCCAATCAGTGGGAGGTGCCCGCCCACCCCTCGGGTGGCCCCAGATAACGGTACACCATTGCGCTGTGTCTCAATAAGGATTCCGCGCGATTGCAAGCCGCCGTCTGGCATTCTTGAACAAGGAAATGACAGCAAGACGGGCTGTAGAAGCACGAATACCTTCGAGGTTCTTCGGCACGTACTTCGCCAGGTCACCTGGATAGAGCGCCTCCAGTGAAGCCCGCAGCTCCTCCTCCTTGGCCTGGGTGACGACCTTGTCGATGCCGAGGGGCTCGGCATCCTGGCTGGCCGTCGCCGCCAAGCCTTGGCCGCCACCTCCTCCAGTTGTCGCACCTATTGCTGGGAATAACTCGCTCGCTGCCTCCCTCCTTCGACGCCGCCGCGAACAGTTGGCCCATGCTGGCCGCCCGCACCTTTGCCATGACAGGAGCCTGCTCGCCCAAGCACTGTTTATGCAGCATGGTGCCCAGTGCCTCCACATCGGCTTGCATGGTGAGGCCCTTCTCGCGCAACGACGGCACCTCAGGTGCCTGCGGTGCCAGCAGGATAACTTCTGGCACCTGCGCCTGAGCGACACCACGTCCTTCTCCTGCTCTGCCAGGTCATTCTTCGCCTCGACCAAGCTTGCCTGCACCTCCGCGAGCTGCTCCTTGCGAGGCGACCACCCCCCGTGGTGCGTCAGCCCTTTTCTCTGCCGTCTTAAGCCGATTCGGCATCGTCTCTAGTTTGGCGTAAATGGTGCGAGAGGCCTGGAGCTGGCCGTGAAGTTGCCCATTCTCCAGGCGCAAGGCACCAGCGTATTCGCAAGCCTAGGACTCCCCACTGCACTTGCACACAAGCGCCAGCTGCTCCTCGACTTGAGCCTTTTGCGCAACTGTATCTTCTTCTCCTTACCGAGGGAATACTATCGATCTGCACAGCACCGCCTGGGGAGGGGGCACACCACCCCGCTTACTCTCCGCCTGCAGCTCCTTGACCTTTGCCTCCAGCTCACGAATCTTGGAGCGACTCGCCTGATCAGGTGGTGGCGCGTCCGCCCTCCATGAGTACCTGACCTTGCTGAGCTTGTTGGTCGATGGCGTAGTTGGCTGCACATTCCCCGCGAATGCCACTCCATTCGCCAACCCGCATAGTACACACTTCTTCGCATGCGGCATGCTCCACCACTTCTTCCCGTGCGGTCGTTCTCGCAACCCTTGCAATACCACCTGTACGTGGACCGCTCACGCGAACCCGGGGCGCACTGAAAGTGGCCCGCTCCCCCGTGATAGGAGGCAGCCGACAAGCTGGGGCGGACCTGCCGTCGGGAGAGGATATCGTTTCCAGGCTGAACAGCCTTGCCTGCCTCGGACTAGAGGTCCCTGCTCTGTATCCAGGGGTACGAACATCTTGAGTCAAAATGGCTACGGAGCCCCCACCCCACCCCCCGTCCAGGGGGAGGGGGTAGAGGGTAGGCGGAGGGGTCTTCCCCTCCCCGAAAAGAGAAGAACGGGGGTTGGAAGAGGAAGCGCCCTAAACCACTCACGCCCTGAAGGGCTGATGGGATAATACCTATACGACCACCCTTCGGGTGATAACCCTATGCCGGTGAGAAGATTCCCGGGGGGGGTAAATACAGTTCGGGGCCCAGGGAGAATCATATTTTGATCCTTCTAGACGGCCTCTTTGGAGATGTGGGAGGAGCAGATCTCCTGTGAAATATGTTAGCCAGCGTGGGCCCCAAACAGTAGGTTCTTGCAGCCTATGCGGTGTAATCTATGTGGTCAATTAATTTCTGTTCGCAGTGAGTTGTCATCTCCACTGCTCGCGCACACATCCCACCCACCCACCCGCAACTTGGTTTGCAAAATCTCTTAAGACCGTGACGGTGGGTACCACATGGCACTTGGCAACACCAGCGACGCCGACGACGACAGCGACAACGACGATGACGACGCCGCCGACAACGACTACGACGACACCGACGACGTCTCCAACGACTTCGACGACGCCGACGACGACGACGACGACACCGACGACGACGACGACACCGACGCCGACGCCGACGATGACAACGACGACGACGATGACGACGCCGACGACGTCGATAACGACGACACCGACGACGACGACGTCAACGACGCCGACGACGACGACGACGCGGCGACGACGACGACGACGACGACCGACGACACGACGACGCCGACGACGACGAAGACGACGGCGACGTCGCCAACGAAGACAACGAGGAAGGAGGGAGGACGACGACGGCGACAACGACGACAACGACGAGGGAGGAGGGAGGACGGCGACGACGCGAACGACGACGAAGGAGGAAGGACGGCGACGCCGACGACGACAACGACGAGGGAGGAGGGAAGACGACGACGACGACGACGACGACGACGACGACGACGAAATAGGAGGGACGACGACGAGACGCCGACGACGGACGACGACGACGACGAGGGAGGAGGAGGAAGGACGACCACGGCGACAACGACGACGGAAACGACCACGACGCCAAAGAGGACGACGACGACGACGACGACGAACACGAGGAAAGACAGAGGACGACGTAGGCGACGACGACGCGGGAGGAGGGAGGACGGCGACGACGACGTCGACGACGCAAGAGCGCGCGCGCACGCTTTTGTTGAAAATCCGTCTTGCGAAACCGTAGGTTTTTGTAGGTGTTTTGGACGCGCGATTTCGAAGTCCTTCCGAAACTGATGGGCTTTGAAGGATTTCGGCGTACGCGCGCGACGACGCGCGCGTCTGCACTTCGTCCTGTTTTTTGCAGAGGATTCTCGCGATGGCACACGCGCAAGGGCGTTCGACAGATTTCGACATGCGCGCGCGACGCCCGCTTGATAGTATTTTTTGAAAACACTATTGAAAACCCATGGCTTTCTTAAGATTTCGCAAGAGCTCGCGCGGAAGTTTGTTTAGCAAATCAGTGTTGCGAAACCGTGTGTTTTTGTATGTTTTTTGGAAACTCGATTGCGAAATCCTTCCGACACCGCAGGTTTTTGAAGGATTTCGGCATGCGCGCGCGACGACGCGCGCGTGTGCACTTCGTCTAGTTTTTTGCAAGGGATTCGTGAAAAATGTGTTATGTTAGAACAATAAATGTCAACGCGTAGTGTTTTTTAACAAGGGAACCTCAGAGGGGGGGATACCGGTTTGGCTGGGATGATACGATTTTATATTTCGGATGGACGAGTGTTCAGAAAATATGAAAATATTCTATCGCAGGGGGAAGCGATAAGTCCGGGGGGGTAGAGTCTATCTTCTTGTTAGACAGGAGAATGTATGCGATGCAACCTACGTAATGCAATCTATTCGGTGCAATCTACGTGGTGCAATCCATTCTGCGGAACTTGAAGTCGTCATCTCCACTGCTCGCGCAAACATCCCACCCACCCACCCGCAACTTGGTTTGCAAAACCTGTTAAGACCGACTACGACGACACCGGCGACAACGACTAGGACGACACCGACGACGTCTCCGACGACTTCGACGACGACAACGACGCCGACGCCGACGACGACGAAGACGACGACGACGACGCCAACGAAGGCGACGACGAGGAAGGAGGAAGGACGACGACGGCGACAACGACGACGACGAACGACGAAGGAGGAGGGAGGACGGTGACGACGCGAACGACGACGAAGGAGGAAGGACGGCGACGCCGACGACGACAACGACGAGGGAGGAGGGAAGACGACGACGACAACGACGACGACGACGGCGACGACATAGGGGGACGACGATGAGACGCCGACGACGGACGACGACGACGACGTGGGAGGAGAAGGAAGGACGACAACGGCGACAACGACGATGGAAACGACCACGACGCCAAAGAGGACGACGACGACAAACAGGAGAAAAGACAGAGGACGACGTAGGCGACGACGACGACGACGCTGGAGGAGGGAGGACGGCGACGACGACGACGACGACGACGCAAGAGCGCGCGCGCACGCTTTTGTTGAAAATCCGTGTTGCGAAACCTTCGGTTCTTGTAGGTGTTTTGGACGCACGATTTCGAAATCCTTCCGAAACCGATGGGTTTTGAAGGTTTTCGGCATACGTCCGCGACGACGCGCGCGTCTGCACTTCGTCCTGTTTTTTGCAGAGGATTCTCGCGACGGCACACGCGCAAGGGCGTTCGACAGATTTCGACATGCGCGCGCGAAGCCCGTGTGGTAGCATTTTGTGAAAATCTTGACAAACCTATGGTTTTCTTAAGATTTCGCAAGAGCTCGCGCGGAAGGTTTTTTAGCAAATCAGTGTTGCGAAACCATGTGTTTTTGTATGTTTTTCGGAAGCTCGATTACGAAATCTTTCCGGCACCGAAGGTTTTTCAAGGATTTCGGCATGCGCGCGTGACGACGCGCGCGTGTGCACTTCGTCCCTTTTTTTGCAAGGGATTCGTGGAAAAAGTGTTATGTTAGAAAGAAAAATGTCCCCGCATAGTGTTATTTGACAGGGAACCGCAGGGGGTGGATACCGGCTTGGCTGGGATGTTATGAATTCATATTTACGATGGACATGTGGTCAGAATCATATGTGATTTACAGCGCGCGCGGGGGACCCGATAAGTCCCGGGGGGGGGGTAGAATCTATTAGTTTTTTAGAAAGGAGAATTGATTTTAACAAACGAGTTGACACATCCCGCGCTCTTGCAAACATCCCACCCACCCGCCCGCAACTTGGTCTGCAAAACCCACGACGACTTCGACGACGCCGACGACGACGACGACAACGACGACACCGACGACGACGACGACGACGTCAATGACGCCGACGACGACGACGACACCGACGACGACGACGCCGACGACGACGACGATGACAACGACGACGACGGCGCCGACGACGACGACGCCGACGACGGCGACGACGAAGACAACGACGACGACGACAACGACGTCGCCAACGAAGACGACGACGAGGGAAGAGGGAGGACGACGACGGCGACAACGACGACAACGACGACAACGACGAGGGAGGAGGGAGGACGGCGACGACGCGAACGACGAAGAAGGAGGAAGGACGGCGACGCCGACGACGACAACGACGAGGGAGGAGGGAAGACGACGACGACAACGACGACGACGACGACGGCGACGAAATAGGAGGGACGACGACGAGACGCCGACGACGGACGACGACGACGACGAGGGAGGAGGAGGAAGGACGACCACGGCGACAACGACGACGGAAACGACCACGACGCCAACGAGGACGACGACGAAAGACAGAGGACGACGTAGGCGACGACGACGACGACAACGACGCGGGAGGAGGAAAACGACGACGACGACGACGACGCAAGAGCGCGCGCGCACGCTTTTGTTGAAAATCCGTGTTGCGAAACCTTGTGTTGTTGTAGGTTTCTCGGACACACGATTTCGAAATCCTTCCGAAACTGCTGGGTTTTGAAGGTTTTCGGCATACGCGCGCGACGACGCGCGCGTCTGCACTTCGTCCCATTTTTTGCATGGGGTTCTCGCGACGGCACAACTGGGATGATAT